CATATTGAAATTCTAACACACGCAAAGGGACCAGAAACTAAGACTACCCGACCTAGTCAGATTGAGTAAAGATACTGGACAAAAGTTCTATCTTCCAAATTCAGACAGACAATACAATCCTCATGGCAGTGCAGTCTCTTAGCTCGAGCCTTAGCAGACACCCGTCAGATCAACCCAAGGTAGAGACTCTACAGCATTCTTCCATCACTATGTCAAAACCAGACCTTTTCTGCCCTGCCCTGCTTTTAAATAGCCTGACTCGATGAAAAAATATTTCTGCCTTTATCTTGTAATAAAATACCCACACATTTTGAAAGTACCACTGATAATCCTTATCTCAAAGCCAAGCTCTGATTGTAGCATATCTTTATGTTTACATATGTACATAAAATAGTATGTAAAAGGAACAAATCATGGAACTGCATCCTTACACATGCTCACATTATGCTAATTTGCAGACACTTAATCAGGAAGGCTAATACATTACAAACACAATTAACGGCCAGAAGAACCAGAGGAGGTTTCGACCCTTTTTAACAAGGGCTTGAAACATAAAAATGCTCTGATTATATATGAACCTTATCCAAAATTGCAAATTATATGTCCACAATGCATAAAATACAGTCAATTTCAAGTCACATCTAGGTAAAAATTGAAACTGTATTGAGCCACTGGAGCAGCTCTTCAATTGATCCAGCATCTCATTGTATCTTTAAATACGGATAAATGCAATTTAATCAGCCATTCCCATTGATTAACTCCAAGTTAACCTAAGTATTTATCAAGGAAACATGGAACTATAAAAGAAAAGAAAGTCATGCAGAACACAGCATCCCCATAATAATCAGCAAGTTAACAAGATGGGGTGAAACCTCAGTCCCACCAGAATTAATACAAAACTCCCATCCGCTTAAATAGGACCACAAACCTCCATTTAAAACTTACGACAGATCAAGTCTTAAGATAATAGGGATGTCTGTCCCTGGGCAAAAAGAGAGATAAGCAGAAGAAATAGCTCCAGAAAGCAAAGTTCAGATGTTTTAACTATACCTTAGCAATTACTACCTGAATGAACTGGACTGAGCAAAAGCAGCAAAATGTATTCTGCTCCCAAAAAGTTCAAAAACCCAAACCCACAGAATCCCACCATTCAGACTTTCTGCCCCACTGCATCTCATCTTTATCAGAGTGGAGCTGGAGCAGAGGGATCCAGCTAGAAACGTCCGAGTTGGTGCAGAGAACCTGAAACTGTGGCTTCTCTCAGCAGGCTGGGGACAAGTGTTGAGCAAGTGTTAAGTGTTTAAAGAATGCTTCCTCCCTCTGACAGGCTTCCACCGCCTCAACCACACAGCGTGGCCTCACTCCAGGGGAGATCCCCAGTGGAAGACTTCATGCCCATGACTAACCCCGCTTTCCAAAGCCAGGCCATTCACAGCCAAAAAGCAGCTGGACCAGCACTTGGTTATTGCCATAGCAAAGCTACGGCCACCACATTTTTCAAAGTGCATTAAAGTAATTATGCTTCCCTGAGGTCCTCTCTGGAGACTTAGGGAGGGAAGTTTCCATTTTTGAAAGCCTGGCCAGGGCTCTGTGACTTTAACTAGACAGAGGAGCTTAACAGTTGCCTTCATAAATTAACAAATTCATTAACAAATACCTTTTCTTGAGTAACAAATTCAGATGTTTGTTAGCCCTATTCTTCCCTGATTATAGTCTAAATTTTTCAGTGGCAGCTATCATGATAAGGAAGGAGAGGATTGGATGAAAAAAGAAACTCAAATTTTGTACCATCTGTTAAATGACTTCCAGTCTGAGAGAACAGATGCTGGACTTCACTATCAGTTTTTGATTGATCTAGAAGTATTTTGTTAATTGGGACTAAAACTACAGCTAAGACAAAATAAGTGTCAGAGAAAATATGAAAGAATAGCTCAAATCCTTCTCAAACTACCTGGTCACTCAGAAAAGATTTTGTAATTTTGGTAATCATCATATGGTACGAAAAAGAAAAATAATCTTCCTTTGAATGAATGGGATAACATCTAAAAAAGCAGAATATATGCTTTGCTTAGATTCTATAAGTACTTTGAATGGCTCAAATGATTCATCAGATTCGTCCAGTTCAGCTGAACTGGATAGCAATTTTCTTTTCTTATATTACTGCGTGTTCGCTGTTTTATTTTATGCATTACTTATTGTACGTCTGTCCTGCGCTCTCCTAGAGACAAATCAGTGCTGTCTTCAGAGATTCACGACAATCACCTCTCAAAAATCTGACCAACTACTGGTATATCAGTACATACCACACAAGATAGCATATAGTGTAGCTACAAGTATTTCTACATAGAACCAAACTGTTAGTTCTACATGTGCCAAACACCAAAACACCAGAAGTGCCAAAACAATTAAGACAATTATGGAAGTCAGTTTCAATTACAAAATGATTGCTAAGATAATTGTGGCATAAATACAGAGACTTAATTTTTACTGCATGCACTGAAAATTGTTTCATCTACCAACAGCTCTGGTTTTTCTAACTTGCACATGACTGCAAGGAAGCAGTATAATGTGAAAAAATATGTTTGTGACAAAAGATGCAGTATTAATTTTAAATTTTCAGCAGCAATATACAGAACAAATGAATTTTCTCTAAATACTGCTTTAACGCTTGCATGAAAGAGCATAGCTATATTCAAAATGCAGTGTTCAGTTGTTTGTGCCATGTTTTTTCATTTGTCAGATATCGATTCTTCCCCGTGTTTTAAAACAATCTGTACCTAATTTAACCTACGTTATTTAAGCTTTCTATGCTTCCCAAAACATTATGCCAAAGCATATTTCAGTATGATTGACGATGAGAGCTTTAGAAATAGTACTGTTGCAAAAATAAGAGCTGGTGTAGTGTATTTTGCTGTAACAGATTTTCACTTCAACAATGAAAACTTTCAACCTTCTGGGCCTTTTTTCCCCCCACTTACATGACATTTCAAAAAATCTGAGAGCCTTCTCCACTGTTATCCATTCAGCTTTGAGTGTTACCCCCACAGCTGATGGAGGGATGCTCTGTATTTTAGGCATACAGAATTCCTTTAGGCCTAGAGGATTCTTGAGTACTGATGCAAGTTAGTGAAGTGTGGTGAGGTTTTAGCCTCCAAATATAACTGTAGTCCTCATATAATGGCATAAAACACACTTGTCACCACTAATATAATATTTTTTTTAAAAAAATCAAAAAAACCCTCCTTTCTCTCCTTAATGGTTAAAAACAAAGCATTCAAAACGTCTTGGAATGCAACAAATTTCACCAGTTTTTCCACTTTTTTTTTCCCCCCAGCTTTCATGGTTATAAAATACCAGAGGTCAGCACTACATACTGACATACTCACTTAACACAGTTATCAACTTTGCAAAGAGATCGAGTCTGCACCGTTAACCAAAAACTCTTCTTTGTACTTTCATTTATCAGACCAAGTCAGTGTTTCATTAATATGTAAGTGCTCGCAGCAACCATCAAGAAAAACCTCTCAGCTCAAACAGGTCTGACAAATGACACAGGACTTTGTCAAAGTTCAGCCCCCTGGAACACCATAATGTACTTGGAGAGTCACCAGTACTTTTAAAATTGCACCACTTTGCAAATAAACACAAACCATTGCAAAATAAGATGCACACTAAATATTTAGATGCACACACATTTGGCCATGCAAAGAGAAACAATAAAAAGTCAACTAAAATCCTGTGTTGACCTTCAGAATTACAGTTAAGATTGAGACCCATAAAGCATCATTTATATGCAAGTCATCTGACTTTCTGTTTACTTACCTCATTCAAGTGAACTTAATTGGAAGTATAGTCTTAAATACAACATCTTCAGCTGAAAAGGTTCCCACCCCGAGCGTGTGTTGCTGAACCCCAGTTCTTTCCTCCTGCTCCCTATTGTGCCAATATAGCCATATGTGGAATCTTGCTATAAACGAGTTGTGATCTAGACTGAAACATCCCCCTCATGCCAAATGAAGAGGCTGGAGGTTTCCGAGAGTTTTTTGTTTTGAAACAAAACAATAATAGATTGGTTGACACAACTGAGAACAGGGAGTGAACTGCAACACTGGACAGGGAAGTTAAAGGGGAAAAGGCACACATTTCACAAGCAAATGAAAGCAGGTGCAACTGTGCCATCATTTAAGCCAGCATTCATTTGGCATACAGTAGAGCAGAAGCAGATCCACCAGAGCTTTCCAGGCAAACAATACTCTTATGTACCTCAGCTGACATTCAGAGATTCTAAAGAATTTTATTTTTTTTATAAGTAATACAGGAATACCTTCCGCACACACAAACACAAAGCTTCAGGCCTTAAAATTGTGAAATAAGAAACATAGCTCAAGTGTGACCAAGACAGTATCACTTTTAGAAGACTGAAGACAGCCAGCAATAACATCTGATTAAGAGTTTCTGCATCCTCACTAATTGTGTCTTTGCACTAGTATTTAGTAATAACTATGTTGAAAACAAATTTGTCCTCAAAAGGGAAGAGTGAGGATGTAAAACAGAAAAGTGAGAGAAAGAAGAGACCATGCGGATAGCAGCAGGGTGCCAAAGGAAGACAGAAAAGCCACAAGAAACCAAGGGAAGTGAAAAAGGGTGCGAGACCAATTAAGCATATTAAAGGGGAAGTACATTTTTTCCACTAAACAATGGTAAACTGGACAATATGATACTGAACAAATAAGTGATTATTAAAAGTTCAGTTCATGTTCCAGTGCCTTATGTCACCATTGAGCTTTACGGAAATATTTTAAAAGAAGAGAACCACTGTTAATTGACTGTATCATCTAAATTAACCATCTTATCCAGAGGAAATTCTCTCCTTTGCAGAAAATGAGAATGATGCACCTTGGTTTAGATACAAATTCATATATGACTTATAAAACTCCTATATACCAACAGGTTAGAACCGTTTTTGCCTTTAAGAAAACAATGAGTTACATGACACCTACTGCCACAACATGCTTGAGACTGTGGTCGCTGGGATGAGAAGCACTTGGGTGGAAGTCAGCAGGTGGGCCCAAAGCTGGATCACTGCTCCTGCGTACTAGAAGCGGTGTGCCTAAGAGACAAAATAAAGAGCAATGGTTCAAAGGTGTTACAGGAACACAAGGTAAAGCTTCACGTGATTTCATTAAGAAAGGTGTACAGCACTGAAATATAAGTTTTTCTGTGGCAATATCTACCTGGTAAATTACTGGATTTGATGGCGTTGTGCCATTTAGTATTTACTAAGCTTAAGAAATTATACCATTTTAAGCTCTATTATACAGACTTTCATCCATGAGCTGCTAAATCAGTGAAAGCTGATGCTAAACAGGAGAAAAAGACACCTTCTCAGAAAAACAAATAATTGCATGTATCTCTGACCACATGTACCATCAAGTTCTGACAGGGAAATCATAGGCTTGATTTCCTAGGATTCCACATAGGAATAACTGTGCACACAGGAAGAACTGGACTGCAACTGTTCGTTCCTACAACTGGTGGTGGTTACTTGACTAAACCAGACCACGGTCTAGAGCCTTTCACTCCACACTAAGAACTGCTCTCACTGTGCCATTCTGCATTAACCCACCAAATTGGGATCTCACAATCACATTTTCAACTGTTCCTTACTTTTTCCTGATGTATATCCAAAAGCCATACTGAGCAACCGCTTGCCTCTCCCATACCAATTATACAAGCCCACACTTAACCTGTACAGAAGGTCGCTTTGAATATGATGGCACGACCATATATATATGGTCATAAATTTTATTTCCATAAGCTCACAAGATGCAATAGTCCACCACCACTACTTCTGTGCCACCCCAACCCAAGGGATGTAAATGATGGATCAGGCACAGGTTTTTGGGTACAGAGGCAGCTGTAGGATAAATGGATAACTCCCTACATGAACTTCATGTAGTATCTAACATGCCTTGAGCTGGCTCTGCAGAGACAGCCTAAATAAGGATATAAAGAGGAGAGGGGGAAGAGATTTTATTCACAGCAGATCTGCCTTGCACTACTGACTGCCAGGATTCTCAGGGAACAGACGTAGGCAGTTGCAGTTGTATCAGAGAAGCTGTAGACTAAACAGCTTCCTCTTGCAGGCATCTCCAATTAGACTCACCAGCTAGTCATGTCTATTCTCATGCTGCCTGGGAATAACCTCAAAGACCAGTCAGCAGCTTCTAGCGACCAGTTAGCAGAATACGCTATAAAACACTCCCTGCAAAACTTAAAGGTGAGGCGAGAGGAAAAAGTTCAGTAATATGAGAAAGGAATTTCTCACATTATCCAAAATGAAATTAAACAAAAAAGATACTTTTTTCCCCCAAGTCTTTCCAAAATAATTTATCCATAGGCAAATAAAAAAGCTGAGGAGACCATTGGTTTAAGACAATAATTTTTCAAATGTTGCAAGGGAGTGAAAATAAGATTATAACTGTCAGTTATAATATTAATTATAGTGGCTGGGACTGATGGCAGCCATAATTACTAGATCTAATATAAAGTTTGAACGTGCAACAGTTTCCTTATTAGAGAGATGTTAACAAAGCTGGAGTGATTGTACCACATTCACTCACAGCACAAGTTTGTAATTATAGCTGGAATAAATACCAGCACCTGATGCTGAGGAACAACCAGAGAATCTAATGCTCTTGCCCTTCCTCATAGTGAGCAACAGTTTTTATATACAGATAATCCCTTCTATATTCACTTATGCAAGAAATCAATACGAAAAGCAAAATAAGACTTAAATTTGTGTCCTGGTATTGAGGGAATGCTCAAAAATCAAAAGGTGAATATTGTTTTTTGTTCCAAGTGATTATCATCTTGATATCAAGCGTTATGCATGTTTTTACAAGGAGATTCTGAAGAAAGGGATTGATCATCACATTTATCCATTTTGTGTGATTTTTGCAAAGGTGTCAGTAGACCAAAAGGAACCAAATCTCTCCACTCAAATCTTCCTGTTCTTCACATGGTGCTGAAGAGAAATTTTTTCCCCTCTAAGCCCATTTGATAAGAAGGTGTATAAAAGCTAAAGCCAAAAAGTGTTGGATTGTTAAGTTACTCCCTTCTTTAAGAAAAATACTTATTCCTTAATTGTTTTCCATGTATGACCAAAGTGTTTCCAGTGACCTGTATCCCATTTTCAGTCTTTCTTCAATACAACAGTTTGAAAAGAGATGTTGAGACACTTTTGTATGTTTCAGCATAATTTAGTCTCCAACTCCAACATGAACAGTACAGAGAAATCCTCTTGGTTAAACCACCAGAAAGCCCATTGCATTGGCACTTTTTGTAAAACTTTCACAACTCAGTAAGCCATATTCCAAATTCAAATTAAAAGATACTGTTGCTTATACTCTTCAAGGCCATCATTCCTGCCGCTTTTCTCATTTCCATCCTCCTTTTTCCACAGTGAGAAATCAGCACTAACACAAAGAGGATTAAAAAAACTCTCTCCATAGTCAAATAGAAAGGCCAAAGATGGGGGGAGACGGGACGTGACCTAATCCATAAAATCACTTAGATCAAGATCATTCCTTCTCCCAAAGCCAACCTCTCCATAGTCAAACAGAAAGGCCAAAGATGGGGGGGAGACGGGACGTGACCTAACCCAAAAAATCACTTACATCAAGATCATTCCTTCTCCCAAAGCCAACACTCTAAAATGAGGTCTCTCCTTTTCCAGAGCTGTCTTCTACAACCAGCTCCTCGTTTCTTTCTCATTCCTCTGGCTGAGAGAAAGATTAAGTTTCCCATCACTGTGACCTGCTGGGAGACAGGACCCTCATTTGTTCCAGGGCCTCCCCACTTCCGCAGCAGTTGAAAGAAGATGTCTCCTGTACCGCACCATTCACACAATGCTTGTCTAAGAAGACAGGACTGTACTTCAGCACATCTGTCTGCTCCCTGTATTGACTGCTGTAAGCTGCATTCCCCCCTCAGCTTTGAAGACCTCCTTTCACTTGCTTTCTGTCACTGTTTTCCAGAGAAACTGAAGCAAAATGACATTCTCCAATTCTCTGTTTATAGCTCTCTGAACTCTGAAACCAAAGTTTGCAGGAGCAGTGGGATTACAAACATTGTTTTCCAATTTGGGAAGATGGCCTTGCAGCTATTTGCTTTCTTTTTATTCCTGCAAGTTTTTGCTTATTGCCACAAGGTTATGAAATTTATGGTGCCTGTCTGGAATACCTCTCTACTTGCACAAAACCAACTGCACTTTTTGACCATCGTGTACAATGCTTTCTCTTTTCTCCCTATTTGTTGTAAATTTTAGAGTCCTACAGATCATTTTCTTGTTGAAGAGCAAAACAAATTTTGCTACTATTTTCATACTTTTAAGAAATATATTTACTGGCATATAACATCATTTCTTGTACAGAGATATCACAAATCGTACCATCTCTGTGAACCAAGTCAGCTGCAGTCTTCAGCTAAAATTACGCAAAACAGTCCCTCTGGTCCTCACTGTTTTAAATGCATACACCACAAAGGCACTGGAGCACAAAACCAACCTTTTATTAGACAAAAGCAAATTGAACCAAAATGCCCTCTCTAATAAGAGAAAACAAATGACAAGCAGGAAGATTAGATGAAAGGCTTGAGAAGAAGAGGTCCTCTCTCTTTTTGGAGGGAGAATCTCCTATTCCCTTTCAAGAGAAGCAATTCTCAGCAGCTCCCTGAGCTAACCAACTCTCCTCCATCTCCCCTTATCTTCTCTGCGGCGCAGGCTGCTCTCTGCCATAAGAACACCTTCCCTGCCACTCACTGCCTCCCAGCCTGTGCTTCTCCCGCAGGCTCCTTTCTATTTTCAGCCTCTCCCTGCCTCTTCTACCGCACACACAGGGCTCTTGAAACCCAAGCCTGTTCCCTTGCACTCCACGAGAGAGAAATCTCCCCAAATCCCGCTGCCCAGGATTCAGCATGACTCAGGAGTCAGACCACAACCATTATACATACATACCCTGAATTTGTTCATCACGGTCTTCCTTAGACATGGATAAAATGTAATGAAAACCCATCACTGATACCATTTATTATTGACATCCTATAGACAATTACACACATTTACTTAAGAGATTGTCATCCATTTTCTTCTGTCAGGAAACAGAACGTTGCCTTTTTCCTTACTGCTTTCCTTTTGTCATGCTGGGTTTCCATGTTATTCTAGTCATGCTATTGCATTTGTGCTGAACATCTATAACCAGTGTAAGCTCAAGCAGAAAATTCATCTTTTCCCTGAATGATGAGACACAGAAAAAACTCCTTTCTGCATACCTAGTTGATCATACAACCATGTTATTTACAAGCACTGCTGTTTTGTGCTAGAGTAGCCCTTTGTATTTTAAACTTAAGAACTCAGTTTAAAAAAAGTTATCCTCATCTTCCTGCACTGCATCAGTAATTTACAGAGAAGGAAATTCGAACACATGTCCAAGACTAAAATTTTTCTCATGATGACAGCTTTTAACCTCAATCGCTTCAGGGTGTACTTCCCCGTCTTTCAAAATTTGCACAGACTACCTTGTATTATGGTACCATAGCACCTTCTAAGCACACGTGGATTTCTCAGCCTTATTCACAATACATACTCTTTCACAAAGCTGATGAGAACAAGTCCTGCGGTTTTCCTTCCTTAAAGTAATTTCTGTATCGTTTAGTTTCAAGCCATGTAGATCAATCTTTTCCTTTTGCTAGCATCACCCTCAAAAATTAGTATCTACACAGATTCATGGTTAACAGTGTATTTCCCTGATCTCCTATGTTTTGGAAACATTTTTTTTTTAACTGCAAATATGGTTGAAACAAGCATATGGTAGAAACCACACTTAGATTTAAATTGGTTACATTAGAAAAAAAAACAGAAAAGAGAAGTTCTGCCATTTGTGCACAATTAAAAACTGAAAACTTGCATCAACACAATGGCAAAAGAAACATCTCCACGCCAGATGTAATCCTATTTTTCTTATTTTGTTTTTTTTTTTTATTTTATTTTATTTTTATTAATTTCACCAAAAAGCTGTACACAGACATTAAAACATACCCTGAATAGGAGTG